ACAAGCCCTGGCCAAGCTTGAAGTACGACTTGAACCAACAAAGAAAAATCTGTGTTCATGAAAGCTTAAAAACTTAAACATAACCCAGTAATGAATTCTGAAAATTGTCTATTTTCATTTTCTGGAGTGGAACATTTAATTATCAATGAAAGCACACTTTAAGTTTAAGTAGTGGCTCGTGTCTTTAATCCTAGGACTCTTGGGGAAGTAAAGGAGAACAGATCTCCATGAGTTTAAGGCCAGCCTGGTCTACAGAGTGGGATCCAGAACAGCCAGGACTATTTCACAGAGAAACCCTGTCTCAAAAAGCAGGAAAAAAAGTGTTTTTGAATGAAGGCTTAACACTGAAACTTTTGTTTGACAATGACTTAGAAAATGTCATTTTATATATGGATTGTTTATAAATGACTGCCTGTGGTGGTTTGAAAGAAAATGGTCCTATAGGGAGTGACACTATTAGGAGGTGTGGTCTTATTGGAGTAGGCATGGCTTCGTTGGAGGAAGTGTGCCATCCACTATGGCAATAATGGTCTAAACCTCTGAACTGTGAGCAACCCAATTAAATGTTTCTCCTTATAAGCTGCTGTGGTTCTGGTATCTTCACAGCAATAGAAACCCTAAATAAAACACTGCTCTTGAAGCATGACCTGGCCACCGCCCTCTTCAACTGACTGCAGCTGTGATTAGCTGTAGAACCTGCACAAGATTCTGTCATCAACCTTCTGTCCAGGAGGGGAGTGGGGCATACAAGATTCCACCCCTCACCAAAGATTTATAGACAGGTAGTGATTACTAAGAGACATTATTTTTTTCCTGTAGTGTCTATGCCTATGTCCCTGTAGGCAACCTCAATTAAATTAGTTGTCTCACTGGGATATACTTGAGTTGAATCTTTATTTCTGTTTATGCCTTATCTGGGGTGGGTATCCCTTTGTTCACCTTTCCACAGAAAGGGTTCATGCAATAGATTCATTTGTCATTGTGTGCTGCCTTAGCCTGACTCAGTGAGGATGACCGGACTGGGTTCGACAGGAACTCAGTCTTTCACTGATCTGTGGAGTCATTTTAGGTTTGTCAACTGATATTTTCTTTCCCAAACAGGCATTTGGAAGAAGTCAGATCATCCTGATCTGAAGTGATTTGTAGCTTGCTGTTTGGATCTTTTCCAAGTCTCTAATACTTGCATACCTATAATGCAAGACCTTGCAAATGGAATGATTTGCAGACAGTCAGAAGGCAACTTCATATGATAGCTTAGTCTGATTACACTTTGTCTGTGACACACCCACAGGCCAGGTATGGAATTCCTCATGTGTGACCATGTCCACATTGAAAAACTATCAGCTTTTGGAAGTGCTTAAAGTTTCTGATCTTCATATCAGCTTGAGCAGATCAGGGCTGCCTCACTTCCAGCACACATTGCTAGTAACTGGAGACAGGTCAGGGCTGTTTTTTGGGTGCTGAGCAGATAAAAAGGAACAACACGTTTTTCAGCAACAGTGCAGCACATTACAATTACAAGAGCCAGCTTTCCTCTTGAACTTCAATGTCTAAATGGGCTAGTGGAAACAGAAACATTCACAGAGGATGAGGGCCGTCCCTTAGGACATGCCTTTCCTGTTCAGTAAGGTTGGCACAATTCAGATTAGATACCAGGTCTGGTTAACAATCCACAGCCTGCGTTCAGTGCTGGGCTCCTTTCTAAGTACTTTAGTACTAGTTTATCTTCTTCTTCATGTGGTAGGACTTGTTTGCACTCCTATTTGAATGAGAAAATGAACGTACAGTGGCTTGATAATTTGTTCATGAAATGAACACTTAAAAATTACCTCCAAATTTAATATTGTTCACATGCATTTTTTGATTGATTTGAACACCTACAATGAATCTTAGTTCTTCCATCCTTGTTCTAGAATCCATCCCTCCCCACTCCTCAGGAAATGCCTCTTCTATTTTGCATTGCTCTCATTAGCACCAACAAGGCTACCAAGAACTCTCTGAGCCATGCCTTTGACTCGACCCCACTGCTTCATCCCTGCTTTATTCACAGTTCCTGCTCCCTAACCATCATCCTGTGCTCATGACCCACTTCTTATCCATACTCATTCCTCAGCGGCCCTACCCTGGAACCCTTGCTAAACTCATTGCAATTGCTAGCTTCCAACCTATCTATGTTGAAGTCAGTACCGTGAGAAACTGTATCATAAAGTAAAATAAAAAGCATCTTAGCGGGTATTTTTAATTAACCTGAGTGGATTTTTTAAAAATATATAGCATAGAATAAATTTTTGAAGTATACTAGTCATCTATGAGAATGTTTGTAATCCAATTTTATAGGCTTACCTCTCAAATAACTTACCACTTGAAACTATACTAATCACAAAGCCCTTTAGGCTACTTTCTATCTCTGTCAGATACATCCCACCAATAAGCTCCTATTTTCCATTAACCAACAGCCTTTTCATTTCTCTAGATAGTTATATGTAAAACTACTTCATTTTCCAAAAGTAGTAAATATAGTTACTGTGATAAGTGTAGTTAAATTGAAAGTATATTCTTTCCCGTCTGTGTTATATAGCATTATTGCAGATATAATGCCCACTCACATCTCTTACTTTTGAGACTGTATGTGATGGCTAATCTTGGTTTTCAGCTCAAGACACCTAAGAGGGACCCTCAGTTGAGTAATTGCCTCTATCAGATTGGCATGTGGGCACTTTCTTGATTGCTAAGGAAGACCCAGCCCATTAGACCTGTGCTGTATAAGAAAGGTAGATTAGGATCTGCAGAGATAGCTTGTAGTGATATTTATGATTATTAAACTTGCCTGAGGATTCAGAAAGTAAAGTCAGCCACAAGTCACAGAAGCCAGGCACACACATTTAATCTTAACAACCAGAACCCAAGAGGTAGTAGCACATTCCCTTAATCTTAGGACTCAGGATTAAGATGTAGATGGATCTCTCTGAGTTCAAGGCCACCCAAGGATACACGAGATTGGGTCAATCTAAAAGAGTAACAGCTGCCTTTAATCCCAGCACTATAGAGGTATAAAATATAGAAGTAGGGTCTCAGTATGCAGTAGGAGGCATTCATTCTCTAGCCATACTAAAGATGGAGGAATTCATTCTCTAACCACACTGAAAGTAGGAGGCATTCATTCTCCAGTGACACTGAGGAAAGACAGCAAAATCAACCCTTTCTGCCTGAGGTAGTGGTAAGAGCTAGTGGCCTGCTACTTTGCTTTTCTGTTCTTCAGCTTGAAGTTTGAACCTCAATATTAGTCTCTGGGTCTTTTATTTATTCATGTTACAATGTCTCAACATTAAGAACAGCACCTGTTACCTTTGTAGAGGACCAGGTTTAGTCTAGTCTCTGCAGGCACCAGGCATGTATGCAGTGCATTTACATACATGCAGGCAAAAATATTCATGCTGTCTTAGTTAGGGTTTCTATTTCTGTGAAATAGATACCATGGCCATGGCAACTCTTATAAAGGAAGACATTAAATTGTGGTGGCTCACTTACAGTTCAGAAGTTCAATCCATTATCATCATGGTGGGACATGGTAGCATCCTGGCAGACATGATGCTGAAGAAGTAACTGAGAGTCCTACAGATATCTTGTAGGCAACAGGAAATGGTCTGAGACACTGGGTGGTATCTTGACCATATGTAAGACCTCAAAGCCCACCTTCACAGTGACACACTTCCTCCAATGAAACCACACTTACTCCATCAAGGCCAAATAGTGCCACTACCTTTGGGAACCATTTCCTTTCAACCACCATATATGCATAAAATAAAAATGTCTTTAAGAAAGAAAGAGATGAGGGGGGAAGGGAAAGTAAGTTAACTGAATGTAAGACTAGGAACAAGACACTCAGTGTTCCTCCATGGTCTCTGTTTCAGTTTCTGCTTCAAGCTCCTGCCTTGAGTTCCTGCCTTGGCTTCCTTCAGTGATCACATGTAAGAAGAAATAACCCCTTTCCTCCCCAGGTTGTTTAAGTTCAATGTTTCATTACATCAAAAGAGAAATAAACCAGGATGATGGGTTTTGCTACATAGTCTACATTGGTCTTGAACTTATGACCCTCTTGCCTCAGTTTCTAAGGGATGGTATTTCATGTATGAGTTTCATGTATGACTTCTCTGTGGCTTCTTGAATATGATTATGTGTAAATATTTGCCTATAGGCCAAAGAAAATAGAGTTTAAATTTTTATAATGTACTTCCATAATATTTTTGAAGCCAAAGGCATTTGTGATTGTCTCTTTCTTTCTCTGATGGATAAAAGAGTGTGCACACAAATACATACCAAATACTCAGTGATGGACAAAATCAAAGGTACTGGAAAGTGGGAGTGGGGACTCCCATGTGACATACACCTATAGATTTTTTTCGATACAATGTAAACAATTGAAAGGTGATTAAATCAACTACCAATATTTGTGCTGAGTATGGCATGTTGGTTCACACTTATAATATCAGCGCTTAGGAGGAAGAGATAGGAGAATCTGGAGCTAGAGGTCATCTCTGGCTACAAACTAAGTTCAAGGCTGTCCTGGGATACCTGAGATCCTTTCTCAAAATACAAATAGCCAGCATTTGTAATATTGGTGTATCACTAAGAAACTAAGCTTTTGTCTATTCTTTGAAGGATAGGTCTTCTCAAGTGTTTGATTGTGAATTTTTCTTGTTGTAATTAAGTGAAGGTAAATGAATGCATCCAAGTATGACTTTCTTCTGTTCAAAGAATGAATTCAGAAAGCACATACTCATCTCCCTGACACACATACCCACTGTCCAAGAACACCTGGATTTTATTCTATTTGAAATGTCAAAACCATGAGATTGAATATCTAAAAACAAAAATGATCTCAGTATATTTGTTCCTGATAAATTGTGTATGTATGTGTATGTGTTGTGTCAGGTTTCAACAGTGGTGTTTTACTCAAATAACTTTCATTAAAATAAATGACAAATTTTTCATATTCCCGTTTTAATAAAATTCACAGTTCATAGTAATACAAATAAATACAACAAATTCTTAATACAGGCTTTTAAATATTAAATAAGAATTACAAAATTGAACACAAATATCTGCCAAACATATCACTGAAATCATGTACAATAAAGTTATTATTTTTCACTGGTACTGAAATACAATTTGGATAATTAAATGTTTGTTATGCAATGTTAACCATACAAAAATAATATTTCTAGCAAAAATACAATAAAGTTTTAAATATTCTATTTACAATATATGATTTAAAATCTATTTCTTAAAAAAATAATATGAATTTTTGTTTACACAAAGGTAAGCCAAGAAAGCCTCCATCCTCCTGCAGGACACCACTCATCAGTTACTCCTGGAAAGTTACTTTATGCAGGATCATGTGGAACTAAGCATTAAATATGATTCCAGGTACTTTTTCTTCAAATTAGATTTGCATCTTATGAAATACCTGAAGTGAAAAAGAGAATAAAAATATTAACAACATGGGTTTCAATCCACGTAAAATATTTTAATACTTTAATAGTTACATTTTATATTATCTTTTTTAATATAAACCTGAGAAAGCAGTCTTGTGTGCTGACAGAAAGTAGGAAGGAAATGTTGATCTTCCTAGTGACAGCAAACAAATAACTCAGAAGATGTTCCTAAAACATATCAAACTGGAATACTGTAATTATAATTGCTTGATAAATAATCTGAAACAGGGCTGGAGAGATGGTTCATCAGCTGAAAGTACTGGCTGCTCAACTAGGGAATCCGGTTCTAGTCTCAGCACCCACATGGCAGCTCACAACTCCAGTGCCAGGCGTACACAAGGACAAAAAACCCATACACATAAAATAAAGGTAAATAAAACCTCAAATATATAATAATTTGAAATAGACACTTACACAGAATATTACACAAGAAATTGCTGAACCTCAAAACTGTTTTAGTCATGATTTAAACCCTTCAATTTAAAAAATCTCCAGGCAAATATAATTTGAATACAATATTATATTACCTTTATATTTGGGTGGTGTTTGGTATTAAATTCAGGAACTCACACACACACACACACAAATACAGGCTCTACCATTAAACTACATCCCATGTCCCATGTTTTAAATATTCATACAATGTTGGAGGAGGAACAAATCCAATTATTTTTTTAATCTAAGAACTTCATATAAATTTTCATGCTCATAAATATATTAAGAACCAAAAAGGGAAGAGTGTGTGTGTGTGTGTGTGTGTGTGTGTGTGTTCATGTAGGTACTTTTCAATAGCTAGGTGGATTTTCTTTCTCTTTTTTTGATAGATTTTCCTATGTATTTATGTTTTGAAAATTCAAAAGGGCTGGGACAACTTGTATGTAGCTAACTCGTGTAACTACCACTGAATACTGAGTTAACACATTTTCTTCCTCTAATGCAAAGGAAAAACTTAAATGTGGTGCCTGTGACTATTCAGACTTCACAGTGCCTATTTTTTCTAATTTTTAATTGCTGCTTTAAAATAATAATAATAATAATAACAACAATGACACAAGACAGTTTCAAATGAGTCACCACACACAATTTGGTTACTTTGCATGCTAGCACTTTAGTATTAAAAGTGGAATTATATACTTTATTATCTTCAACACTGGGAAGTCTCCACACTTGTCATATGTCTGCGAGGTGTGCAAACATCTGAGATAGACTGAGTTAAACTGACCAATGAAAGACACTTGGGATATTTTTAAACTGCTGGTGCTCATAACTCTCATTCCCCACCTTTTTGACTTGAAGCACCACGTTCCTTATAGGGAATTGTCCGTGGTACTGAATGCTTACACTAAAATATTGACTTTGTACCAGGCTGCGAAAGAACTTAAAACAGAATCAATCTCATGTAGCAAAGACGTGAGTATCTTTCAGTATGTTTCATGTAAAGTCTACATTTTAAACCAGAATTATACTTTATATTGAGTTGCTATTGTTGTACACATAAATATTTTCTTTCTTTGGGCTCTAGAATACAACTTTTATCATTGATCCAGAACACAATACAGGCAGCATTTCACTTTACCAGGCAATGGGCTAAGCTAAAGTGCATGATAATTTTATCACTTCATCTTCCATGTATGTCTAATTGGGATTTTTTTCTTTGTTCTTGAAACTGGCTTTCATTATATTGACCAGGGTGGCCTTGAACTCAATCTTGCCTCTGCTCCTCAGGTGCTTGGATTATAGCATGCACTGTTATGCCCGCCTAATTGTTCTCCTACTTTACCAATATCCTCTCTGTTTTTCAGGTGTACTACTGTGTTAAACTCAAGAAACAAGTCTCCAAAACACCAAAGGATCCAATTAAAAGGTGGGGTAAAAAGAGCTAAATAGAGAATTCTCAGTAGAGGAGGCTAAAATGGCCAAGAGACACTTAAGAAAGTGCTCAACATCCTTAGCCATCAGGGAAATGCAAATCAAAACAACTCTGAGATACCATCTTACTCCTGTCAGAATGGCTAGAATCAAAAACACCGAAGACAATTTATGCTGGAGAGGATGTGGTGAAAGGGGGACACTCCTCCATTGCTGGTGGGAGTGCCAACTGGTTCAGCCTCTTTGGAAATCAGTATGGAGATTCCTCAGGAAAATGGGAATTAATCTACCACTAGACCCAGCAATTCCACTCTTAGGCATATATCCAAATGAGGCAAGTTCATATAACAAGGGCATCTGCTCCACTATGTTCATAGCAGCATTATTTGTAATAGCCAGAACCTGGAAGCAACCTAGATGCCCCTCAACTGAAGAGTGGATAGAGAAAATGTGGTACTTTTACACAATGGAGTATTACTCAGCAGAAAAAAACAATGGAATCTTGAAATTTGCAGGGAAATGGATAGCACTGGAAGAAACCATCCTGAGTGAGGTAACCCAGTTGCAAAAAGACAAGCATGGTATGTACTCACTCATATATGGATTTTAGACATGGATCAGGATAGTGCCAGTCTGCACTTCCACCGATAGAGAGTCTGGGAAACAGGAAAGAACCTAAAAGATATGCATATATGCATAGTACCCAAGAGAAGAGGATTGAGACAAGATCCTCTGAATGGATGGGGAACACGGCGAGGGGTGGGGGGGAGTGGGACCTGGGAAGAAGAGAGGGGGTGAAGAGGAGGAGAGTTGGTCATGGGGGAACAGGAAGTTGAGGGGGTGGGGGTAGAATAGGGGGAAGAGGGAATCATAGGATCGAATACAGATCAGGTACCAGAGTGACCTCGAGTGATCTAAAGGGATAACACCAATTGGCAAGCTAAGCAATAGTGGAGAGACCACCTCGAATGCCCATTCTTGATAATGAACTTGATGTCTATAACCATCCGGGAGCCTTCATCTGATGGAAGCAGAGGCAAACACACAATTAATCACTGAACTGAACCCAAGGAACCCAGTGACAGAGAGAGAGGGAGTGATGAGCAAATTGGCAAAGAATGGGCTGGCAAAACCAGCAGAGACAGCTGATCTGAACAGGGGAGAGCTCTTGGACCCCAGACCAACAGTGGGGAGGCCAGCATGGGACTGATCTGGACCCCCCAAATGTGAGTGTCAGCGAGAAGGCCTGGGCAACCTATGGGGCCCTGAGCTGTGGATCAGTGTCTATCCCTGGTATACAAACAGTCTTCATGTGCCTATAGCACAAAGAGGGATGCTCTCTCAGCCTGGACTCTTAGGGGAGTGCCTGGACCCTACCCAGAGTAAAATGACAGACTCTAGATATCCCCTATGTGGAAGGATTTGGCAATAGGGTGGGAGGGTGGGGGGGAAAGGGGAGTGCGGGAGAAGGGGAGGGAGAGGGAACTGGGATTGACATGTAAAACAAGCTCTTTAGAATTAAAATAAAAAATGTAAAAAAACCAACTTTTTCTCTATTATATATCTGACAATTTATGATAGACCTGATAATGGTTGTTTGCCTGTGTGTACCTGTGGAATGTTTCTGTAAAACAATATAATGATACTGAAAACAGTTGAAGTCTTTTTAATCACCAAGGGTTTGTAAGGCTTTGAGAAAAGCTGCTTATCTTACTTGATGTAACAGCTTAGAGGACATTTTAAGTCAACTCATCAGAACAGCATATTTAAAATCAAGTTTGGAGCAGAGTAAAAAATCTATTAGTAAGTGCTGTTGCCATTGTGTTGTGCTAATGTTAGCTACTGGGCTTCTTGGACTCTTCAACTTTTTCTCTTTAATTCCTGTCAGAATGGCTAAAATCAAAAACACCAATGACAATTTATGCTGGAGAGGATGTGGTGAAAGGGGGACACTCCTCCATTGCTGGTGGGAGTGCCAACTGGTTCAGCCACTTTGGAAATCAGTATGGAGATTCCTCAGGAAAATGGGAATTAATCTACCACTAGACCCAGCAACTCCACTCTTAGGCATATATCCAAAAGATGCCCATTCATACAACAAAGATGTCTGTTCCACTATGTTCATAGAAGCTTTATTTGTAATAGCCAGAACTTGGAAGCAACCTAGATGTCCCTCAACCGAAGAGTGGATAGAGAAAATGTGGTACATTTACACAATGGAGTACTATTCAGCAGAAAAAAACAATGGAATCATGAGATTTGCAGGCAAATGGATGACACTAGAAGAAACCATCCTGAGTGAGGTAACCCAGTCACAAAAAGAGAAACATGGCATGTACTCTCTCATATATGGATTTTAAACATAGATCTGGGGAGTGCCAGCCTACAATCCTATGGACAGAGAGTCTGGGAAACAGAAACTTCATTTAGTGGCTGATCAAAAAAAGAGGCAGACTCCCTCGGTTAAGTACTGAGCTGAACTCAAGAAAGCCAGTAACAGAGAGGGAGGACTGATGATCAAAGGGATTAAGACTGGGCTGGTTTAACCCCCAGAAACAGCTGACCAGACAAAGGTTAACTCTTGAATCCCAGGCATCAGCCTGGGAATCCAGCATGGGACTGATCAAGACCCCCTGAATGTGGGTGTCAGTGAGGAGGCCTAGGTAATCTATTGAGCCTTGGGCAGCAGATCAGTACCCATCCCAAGTATACACACGGACTTTGGACTTCCATCGAACATTGTGAGGTGCACTCTCACCCTGAACTCTTGGGGAAGGGTCTAGGCCCTGCCCTATATGAAATGACAGATTTTTGACACCCCCTTGGAGGGCCTCACCCTCCCTGGGGGAATGAGGGGATAACGGGGGGGGGGGGCTGGGAGGAGGGCACAGGAGGAGGGGAGGGAAAGGGAGAGGGACCTGGAACTGACTTGTGAAGCAACCTTGTTATCTAAATTTAAACTGGAAAATAAAAGAAAAAAAAGAAAAAATATTTTTGTTTAAGTTCTGAGTTTTTGAGACAGGGTCTCACTAATAAAGTAATGAAGTCACCTTCAGACTCCCCTGAATTTAGTTTCTTGAGTGCCAGAATTTGGAATCTGGGATTGTAACCCTGCATTTGATCCCCACCACCATGGGGAAGAGGGGGTGTGAGTGGAAGGAAAGGCAATGGAGAACAAAAATACTCTTAGGAAAAAAAAATAAATAAAAATACTCACAGGGTTAGTTTCCTAGGTCTGGGAGCACAGTGGACTCACAGCTAATCTCATCAGCAATCTAGCACACCTTTTATAATCTAGAAAAGGCATTTCAAGATAATAATACATATAGTTAATTGATATGAATGAGAAAGAAATAATATTATTATCATTGATTCATGTAACCACCATGGTTTTAAAAGCCCCTAACATATTAGGTGCTTAACATGGGTTTTGCTCTTTTGTTCTTCTGAAAAGATATGGAAATCTGATGCCTTCATGTTAGAGAGGAGACACACCTTTAAATGTAACTTATCTCATAGCAGCTAATCTGAAAACTGCCTCTTCTCCACCAAACTTGGCTGTCATCCAGTGTCTTTGCCTTGAATCTCTTGCTGACAAATTGAGTTGTTTTTGTTGTTGTTTCTGTTTTTGTCAATGTGATGCAGATTAAAGTCAACTGGGAAGAGGAAACCTTAGTTGATGAATAGCCTCCTGTAGGTAAATCTGTGGGATATTTTCTTTATTCATGATTGATCTGGGAGGTCCCAGACCACTGGGGGTAGTGTCAACCCTGGGAAGTTGGTTCTGAAGTGTAGAAGAAAGCAAAAGCCATGGAGAGCAAATCAGTAAGCAGCTTTCCTCCATGGTATTTGCTTCAGTCCTGGCCTTGAGGTTCCTGCCTTGAGTTCCTGTTGGCTTCCATCAGTGATGGAGTGTGATGTGGAAGTATAAGCTGAAATAAATCCCTACTCACATCACTCTTGGTCAGCATTCTGTCACATCAACAGAGAAGCAAGCTAGAATGAATCTAATGTGCTTAATTTTCTCTAGTCATTAAATATAAGGTTTTGAGGTGTTTCTTTTTTTGAAAAAAATAAAACATAAAAATCTGACTCAACATCCTAAGTAAAGTAAAATACTCTGCAAGACCATCTAGATGCCAAGAAACGAAGTGGTCAGTATCACCTTAAAAGGAAATTTTAGACTTAGAAAGGAATTTGAAACAGGTGACTCGGCTACCATACATCATTGTATTTTGAATGATAGCCCATTAGTGCTATGCTTGGAATTATTATTAACTCCATTAACTTAAGTATTCAAAAGGGCTCATTGCACAATAGGCTATCATCATTCAGGGAAACCCAGCACACACTGCACAAATGACATGATATAAAAAACATTTACTTCAAAATCACTTAGGAAGAGATGTCAACTTGCACTTCACAGTTAGCCCAATTTCTTTTTTTCATTCATATAAGAAATAATTTTATTTTTACCAAGGAATTTGAATAACGATAAAAGGTTTCCATCCTGACAAACTTTCTAGTCTTTAAGAGAACCTGGCTATTTTCAGATTTGGAAGTGTTCCCACCCAGAATGTGGCCTCTCGTTCCTTATAGTCTTAACAGACCACACAACCTTGAGTACTGAAAAGTTATAAATAGCAACCCATGCAATGTTTAGTCTATTGTGTCCCACCCAAAGACAGTTGAAGTTTGAAATTATATGCATTCATTGTTGGATCAGTTTTTTGTTTTTTCTAAATCTGTCCAGGCAACTTACAAGCTGGCATGGAGCAATCCCGGGTATTGTGATAAAGTCGATGGAAGTGTTTGCTACATTCAGCTGAAAACGTGACAGGCCCTAGAGAAAGGGAAAGAATGCTTATTATAAACATGGGCTTGTTTCCCAAACATGTTTCTAGCACTCTATGGATGGAGACAGTGTAACTGTAGATTCCATCCTCCCTTCCCTTTAAAGAACTGGCCTGAGGATTCCTTCCTTTACCCAGACTCTGTGGGAGGCACTGAACTTTGATCTAAATTCACTCCACATTCTCAGTATCTCACATCATGGAACCTTCTGACTAGTAGAGCTCTGGAGGAACTGAAAGGGGGCACTCCAGACAGAAGGGAACCTCAGGGAGCAAACCAAGAGGGAGTGGCTTTTTTCTACTCAATGGGAAGTAATGTTTCTAGTGACAACATTTGTTTTTAGTTGAAGCAAGGTGTGCTCATTAGTGTAAGGAACTACTGTGAAGGGAATAGGGCCTTGAAACTGCAACAAAACTTTCCTCCTTCCATCTGGTGCACAGGCAGCTCCCCAACACTCCGGGCTGCCTTCCTTATCTGCAGGTGTCTCTGTATGATACACAGAAACACCTTTTGAAAGTTAACAGCTGGGTGTGGCTGTATTGGACTATAATTCCAGTACTTGGGATAAGAAGGCAGACCTTGAGGTTTCAACCCTGCACAAAGAACTGTAAGGCAACTGAGAAAAGCTGGGAATAGGAAATGTGGCCTTCCCCAGAAAAGAGAACGCCACTGGTTGTTCAATGTCAAAATGATTAGTCCCTAAAACATGCATACAAGTAACATTACATGGACTCAATAAGTTATATTTAAGAATGTACATGTATTCCAAAACAATACAGAGAAACCCTGTCTCGAAAACAAACAAACGAACAAAAAAAAGAATGTACTTGTATATACACATATGCATGCAATACCACTTAATGAAAAATGGGGCAATTGGTTTGAAGGAGAGTGAGTAGAGGTATATGAGAGGGTTTGGAGGGAGGATAGGAAAGGGAGAAGGGTTATAATTAAACTGCTATTTTAAAAAACAAACAAAACAAAACAAAGCACACAAGAGGTGTGTGTGTGTCTGTGTGTGTGCGTGTGTGACATATGCTTATCTGTCTTCTGTTTATAAAACCTCAATGCTGTAATGCTGTGCTGGCCATAGCACAGTCTAAATCTTTCAGTGGGCCCCTGAAGGTTGTTTGCCATCTGGCTTGTTCACACACCCTCCTAGCCCACTAGCTAAATGCATCCTCTTCCCAAGTTCACCCTTCATCCCCAGTTCACCCACACCATGGGCCTCTCTTCTCCCACAAGAGCCTTCAAGCCTTGCTGAATTGGTTCCACATGACCAGACTTTCCTACTTAAAAGCCAAACTCAGCATTTTCTCAGCAAGTCATACTTTTTATTTTTCTCTAAAATATATTTATGTCCTATTGCTTATCAAGTTCTAGTGTCCATTACAGATCATACAACTTACTAATAGTTGACTGAAAACCCAGCTGAATTCAGGCCTCTTCTATACATTAATCTCCATAGCTCCATTATCTATGGATGTATTCTATATAAACCTTTTTTTTGTAACTGAGTCACTGAAATAATGTATGCTTACCTGTGAAATGCTTTATGAATTTGTCTTTCAGGGTCAAGTCTCTTGGGAATATTTCTGAAAAGAAAAAAAAAGACTTCGTAATTTACAGGATGAATTTCCACTATTAAAACATAATTATAGCACTAAAGGCATAGATCCATGCAGTATATACAGCAGATCTCAAATCCCTGTGCTCAGGTCCTATCCATTCTCCAGGGCTCTGGAGCTCTAGCAGAACTTCTTGCTTTCTCTACCCCAGCACCCCAACCCTCTCCCAGGAAACCATACAGACCTCTCTGTATGAGCTACTGTTGAATATCTGATTTTCTGGCTTCCAGAGTTTCCCCTATCCCGTGTTCCCCAGCCTCAGTGAATAGCATCATTCTTTAACCTTTGTATAGCTGTGGTGATTTGAATGATAATGACCCCCATAGGACCACAAGGAGTAGCATTATTAGGAAATGTGACCTTAATGGAGTAAGTATGGTGTTGTTGAAGGAACTGCATCACTAGGGGGTGGGCTTTAAGTTCTCAGAAGTTCAAGCCAGGCCCAGGGGCTCACTTGTTCTTCCTTCTGCCTGCCAATGTCACCTACCTCTCCAGAATTATGTTTGCCTGAATTCCACCATGCTACCCACCATGGCAATGGGCTAAACCCCTGAACTATAAGCCACCTCCAATTAAATGTTTTCCTTCATAAGAGTTGTCACCGTCATGGTGTCTCATCACAGCAATAAAACCCAAACTAAGACAATAGCCCACCTCAACAAGTTATGCTTGACTGTTTTTTTCCTCTCCACTCTGTCAAACCATGAGTTAGTTTGCATACTCCACTTCAAAACATTCATCTGGGGTCTTGCATTTTTACCTTCTACTGATTCTGGCTGGCCCAGCTATCATACTTCTGTGAGTATGTTTAGAAAACAGCCTTCTAACCTGTCTTGTCCTTCCTGAAATGCTTTCTCCAAAAAAGCAGCCAGAGTAAGTGAGCTGAGACACTCTTGAGGTCTCATAAGACTGACCCACTTACAAGGCTTTTTCTTGGAATGAAATACAAATTAAAGATAAGGCTTCACTCAAGACTTCACTGATATTCATTAAAACATGCTGTCCAGAAAACACAGTGTATAATGCATTAGGAACACACACAATAAATGTAGTAGAGGAGAAAATAAACTCAATGGATACTTGAAACTGAAGGTTTGTTACCACTTGTATATTTACCTTTTCTTTTCTTTTTATTTTTTTCTTTTGGTTTTTCTAGATAGGGTTTCTATGTGTAGCTTTGGAGCCTACCCTGGCACTAGCTCTGTAGACCAGGCTGGCCTCGAACTCACAGAGATCCTCCTGCCTTTGCCTCCTGAATGCTCGGATTAAAGGCATGCGCCCCCAACGCCTGGCCACTTTTTCTTTTAAAAAATGATTTTTGCTTATATATTGTCTTAGGGTTTCTAGTACTATGAAGAGACACGATGACCACAGCAACTCTTACTAAGGTAAACACTTAATTGAAGTGGTTTACAGTTCAGAGGTTCAGTGCATTATCATTGTGGTGAGACATGGCAGCATGCAGGCAGACATGGTGCAGCAAAAGGAGCAGAGAGCTCTATATCTTTTATCTGCAGGCAACAGGGAGTGAACTGAGACACAGGGTGTGGCTTGAGCATATAGAAGACCTCAAAGTCCATCCCCACAGTGACACACTTCCTCCAACAAGGCCACACCTCCTAATGGTGTCTATGAGCTCATGGTGGTCAATTGCATTAAAACTACCTCACTTATTTTATCTGTGCTGGTGTATGTGATGTAGCGTGCATATGGAGGTCAAATGGCCACTTTCAAGGGTTTGGCTCTCTCTTTCCAGTTTGTGGGTTCCAGGTACTAATCTAGGTCATCAGGCTTGACAGCAAGCAGTCTTACTCACTAAGCCATCTCACTGACCCTGCCAATTGTACATTTAGACTTCTAATTTTTTCCTTACATACGGACTTATTTATAAACCACATAATATGAATGCAGCATGGAAGGCACATTTATCACCTATAGATGACAGAGTTCAAGGAGACTGAGAAATGCTGATGGAGTCTCAGGGAACATCCCAGGAGGGAGGGAGTGGATGAGACCCCTTCTTGTGTAATAGCTATGGTTGCCAGCAGTGTGTTAGTTCAGAGTCTAAGTGAGAGAAGGGAGAGAGAGCAAGAGTGCAGGGATCCAAACTTTGCTTCTATGTGACAACAGACACCTGCATTTTAGAAATAATTAAAAACCATTTGGGAGCTGGAGAGATGACTGAATCTGTAAGAGCACTTTCTGTGCAAACATTAAGACTGGGTTCAGATCTCCAGTTCTCATGTAAAAATCTAAGCATTGATGTTCAAACCTACAACCCCATCACTGTAGCAAGAGATGGGCAAGTCATGGGTACTCATGAGCTGACAGGCCATCCTAACCAAAAAAACTATGCTTCTGATTGAAACCCTATCTCAAGGAAATAAGGAAGAGAATGATAGAAGGAGATACTCAATGTCTTCCTCTGGATTATACATGTATACACAAGGATGCACACCTGTGGGGAAGCGGCCATTTCTCCAGTCCAAAACTGCTATATATTTAAACGTTTTATTATTTAACAGTTTTACAGGTACAGAAAAATTTCACTGTTCGGTATTCCTAAGCACTCTACACCATGTGTGAATACAGTACTTTCTTGCCACTAATGAACCTATAGATAAATACCGGATCACTCATTAAGGTCCATATATTCTGAATTTTCAGGTATGCTCACTTTTCACTCAGACTCTTTTTTCCATCCTAGGGTTTCATGTTAATTACAATGATCACGTCTTCTTGGGTTCTTCTAGCTCTGATGGTTTTTCCTTTTGCTGTTGTTACTATTTTGGACAGGACACTCAGCTGATCTGGAAATTGCTATGCAGACTAGGTTAGGCTTCTTCTTGTGATCTTTGTACTTCAGCCCCTGAGATCTTGGGTTGTTGATATCACAATCTGCTATTTTCCAGGATTTGAATGACTTCAATGGCTGTAAGTAGTCCTGGTAAAGAATTTAGCAGAACGTTCTTTTTTATTTGCATTTTTCTCATGATTGGACTGGAGTTATAGGTTTAAGGAATATCTCACAGGTAAGATATCATTTTGATCTGAGCAAGGGTACATGTAGTCATCATAATTATGGCTGCTGATGTTAACCTTGCTCATCTAGTATAGTTAATATTTGTCAGGCATGTCTCCATGATAGAGTTTACGCTTGCCCTTCTCTAGAATGGTATCACAGTATTATGTCTACATGTTGGGGAGATGGGTTCTTTCTTCCCTTGAGCATGCTTATATGAACAATTTAGAATCCTGCATGGAATATTTCTCCCTCGGTCAGTCACCTATTTGTTCCAATGTGAACCAGTAGATGTTTATTTTTATATTGGGTTATAATCTATATGATTTCCTTTATTCTGTTGCTGAAATGAAACAGATCCAATTTGGGCCATTTTTGTTTTTAACACATTTGACATGGTAAGAGTTTTGTCATTGTTACTGTTTTGTATATACTACTTTCTACTTTCTGGCTCTCTTCAAGTCTTTCCAAGTCTTGTGGTACAACAAACATATGAGGACAAAATTCTAAATCCTAGTGCACATAGACCAGACTATTTTAAAAATGCACAATGATGTTTAAATATAAATTTTCTTGTTTTTAAATTACAGGATAATTCATGTATAATTTAAACTTTCACCATTTAATTAGAAGGCTAATTTCATGAAAATGAGTTTTTTAAGTTACTAATTTAACAGTTAGACCCCTCCCTCTTGATTAAAAATTATCATCTCTACAGACTCTTAAAAATAGTGTTTTATAAAAATGTTAAACACTTCAAACCAACAGGAATTACAAATAACTGACAATATAAAGCTGTGCATCAGAAACCGCAGAAACAGGCCAGATACGGTGGCATGCTCCTTTAATCCCAGTGTTCATGAGGCAGAGGCAGGTGGATCTCTGTGAATTCAAGGCTACCCAAAGCTACATAGTGGGTTCCAAGACAGCCAGAGCTACATAGTGAGATCCTGTCTCAAAAAATGAGGAAGGGGTGGGGAGGAGTAGGAAAGAAAGGGAGGAAGGAAGGAATGAAGGAAGGGAGGGAGGGAGGGCAGGGTAGGACAAGGCACTGCAGGGCAACCACATAACCCAGTGCTGAGGGTGCTCTTATTAGACCTAGTAGTTAGAAGCCTTAGCAACAGACTTAGCCACAGGAAACCAGAAAAGGCTACTGATCCAGTAGGAAATAACATGCCCACTCTAGAACCACCGTGTGGCTTGAATGAAAATGGTCCCCATGGGATTATATAGTTGAATGTTTGATCCTTAGTTGATGGAACTGCTTGGGAAGGGTTAGAAGGTGTGGCATTGTGAGGGGAGGTCTGTCACTAGGGGTCTGTTTTGAGGTTTTGAAAGTCCACAGCACGCATAGCTCCCCACATGCCAGCCTTGTACTTGTGGATCAGATTGTAAGCTCTCAGGCACTATCTCAGCATCATGCCTACAATCCTGCTGCTGTGCTCCCCACCATGATGGTCATGTGCTCACCCTCTGAAACCATAAACCCCGATTAGATGCTTTCTTTTATAAGTTGCCTTGGTCATGGTGTTTTGTTACAACAATTAAAAAGGAACTAAGACAACCACAATGTCGAAGAAGCAAAGGTTTGAGTTTACTGGGGCCAGAAATAAAGAATGGAAAGTAAGTGTGAAGGTTCCTGAGACAAAAGGTCAGGTATAAGGTCCTTGGGTTGAAGACACAAAGCACATGACTATGTGATTGGAGAGTAAGGGAGAAAAGAGAAAAGGAGATGTCCATGGAGACAATGGGTGAAACTGGAGACACACATCTGGCTTCATGCAGGTGCTGTGAGAAGGCTTGTCAGAAGAGCAAGTGGGAACAGGCATCAAATTAGGGGTTCACTTAATGATGGCAGGGAGGGTCAAAAGGACCAAAACTTCCTGGAGGTCAAGGGAGATGGAGACCGACTGCCCACCAGGAGTGAGGCCATGCCCACTCCGTG